ATTATTTGGCAGGCTCTTGAGTTGTGGTTACCACCCAAAGCTAGCTCACCAAATTTCGACAGTAAATCAGAAGACTGTATCTCTTTCAATGCAGTATCTAACAAACTAAACAGCTGCAAGCTTGCTGAAATTGCAGGGAAGGCATAAGGGGACGTTGTGGGAGTATATATGTCGCCATGGTTGGTTTGATGGGAAGATGGTTGGTTTGATGTGAAGAATGAGGATCGTGAAAACATAATTAATTAAGAGAGAACTATGTAAAAACATAATTAATTAAGAGAGAACTATGTAATTATGTATACAAACCTGGTAAGTATACACATCAATAATTATTGTTACTAATTCCATTCATCTAGTAGGAACGTCGGATAGAATAACAAACCTCACAAAGCATACCACAATTATCTCGAAAGCATACTAGAAACCTCCTAATGCATACTATAAATTGTCTAAAACATACCAGAAACACGGTAAAACAAACCAAAAATATTTCTAAAGCACACCAGAAACCCCCTAATACAAACCACAAACACGATAAAACAAACCAAAAACGTCCTAATGTACACCACAAATATATCAAAACAAACCAGAAACATCGCAAACCAAACCACAAAAGTTTCGAAAGCACACCAGAAAATTCGTAATGCAAACCAGAAACCTCCTAATGCATACCACAAATCTCCTAAAACAAACCACAAACCTCACAAAGCAAACCACAATATTTGCGAAAGCACACCAAAAACCTCCTAATGCAAACCACAAACATAGTAAATCAAACCACAAAAAAGCAAACCATAAACGTCATAATGCAAACCACAAATATATTAAAACAAACCAGAAACCTCACAATGCAAACCACAAAGTTTTTGAAAACAAACCAGAAACTTCTCAATGCAAACCACAAACACAATAAAACAAACCATAAAAGGCATAAAAAATATGAGAAACCAAACCATAAATCTCACAATGCAGACCATAACATCCGGTGGTCGTTGACCGTTGACCGAACTCCGGTGACCGTCAGTGAGCAGATTCCGACGCCGATAGGCATATTCCGGTCCCGGTGACTAGATTCCGACGCCGATAAGCATATTCCGACGCCGGTAAGCAATACCCGAATCCGGTAAGCATATTCCGGCCACAAAATAGCATATTCCGGCGACAAAAAGCATATTCCGGTGACCGGCGGCCATTTTCCGGCGACCGGTGGCAGAATTCCGACGACCAAATTTTTGGACAGAAAATAAAAAAATATTTTTTTATTTTTTATTTTTTTATTTAAATAGATTTTTCATAATGACAATTATACCCCTGCTTTGATTTTACACTAGGTCAACTCATTTAATAAAAAGTCATCACAATCCTACCTTCCTATTGGTTGGGGACTAGTGTTGTTACAATAACCGGTCCCCAAGTCCAACGTCTCTTCCCCCAAACAAGGATATAACATAATCCATATTTACCCAAATTTCTCCACTTTTAGACATGTATAATTAATTAAATATATCCCTCAAAACGTTCCAAGAGAAGCAACAACGTCAACAACCCAGCACACAACAATAATAATCATATTTTCTATTAAAAAAAAAACAATAATAATCATATTCAAACAATAATAATTAATAATCTGTAATCATGTTAGGGTTTAATTCCCCCGGAAAACTTGCAAAACGATCCCTGAAAAACTAACTGGCTGTCATTTTAATGCCTGTCACTCATTTCCTTTTTAGTTTTTCCATTTCCATAAACTTTGTCGTCTCACTTCTGTTATTCAGTTTCTGTGTCCGTCAAACAAACCCTCCTCAGGCCGCCCAATTTTCCGCCGTTGCTCCTCTGGTTTCCAGCCAATTGGCCAAATTCTTTCAACCCAACAAAAAGGAAAAAAATAGTTTCCAACTTCTTCTTCCTTTTTTTTTTATTCCCTCCCCATTTCCAGCTTCCTCGTCCTCTTCCTTCATCACTAATTTTCTTGTTTGTCCGCAGAGAAAACTCTCTCCCCCGCCCCCCACTTCTTTCCCAAAGGGAAATTTCTCGTCTTTTCTTCTGCATTAGCTTCTGGGATTTCTCCATATCCGACTGAGTCCTCTTTTCTCTTTCCCCCTCCACTTGAAAAGGTAGAGTCTTTCTGCTCATTTGAGTGATTTCTCTTCTGGGTTCTGCAGAAATCCTCGATAGTTTGCGAGATGTACCAAAAAAGGGAGCTCCCTTTAGATTTTCAGCACCACATCCCAATTTTGCGGCCCAGCATCCATTCAAGGAGGGCCAACATAACAGTGAAGTTCCAGGACCTTTATGGTTTCACCGTAGAAGGCAATGTCGACGATGCTAATGTGATGAATGAAGTGAGAGAGAAAGTGAGGGAGCAAGGGAGGGTTTGGTGGGAGTTGGAAGCTAGCAAAGGTGCTAATTGGTACTTGCAGCCCCAGATTTTGTCGTTAGGTGATGGGATTGCTTTGAAAACTTCCCTCAAATTGTCTGCCATAACCAATTCAATTGCGCTCAAGAGGCTTATCAGGAAGGGAATCCCTCCTGTGCTGAGGCCCAAGGTTTGGTTCTCGCTATCTGGTGCGGCTAAGAAGAAGTCCACTGTGCCTAACAGCTATTACAATGAATTGCTTGTTGCTGTTGAAGGGAAGACTACTGCTGCAACTAGGCAGATTGATCATGTGAGTCTTTTGATTATCTCTCTATCTGGTTGCTTCATTTCCAGCTACGGTTGACATTTTTTAATTTGATTTTGAATAATCCGGAATGTCCGTAGTTTAAGGATGGCCGTTTGGGGTGAATTTCTTTTATCGGCATCTCATATGATCCTATGCTTCTTCTTGTAAGATGATCCGTTTAAGACATGATCAATATGGTATTATGGTGGGTTAGTTTTTGTTTTGTGTGGGTGTTAATGGTGGATGTGATGCTAGAGATCAGAAGAGAGAGCTACCGGGGACGGATTTTGTCGTTGCTGGTTTATCTTCTCCTATGTCTGGCTTTGGACTACTGGCATTTGGTCAAGCTTTGGAATTATCTATATGCTATGATTAGTTAATGTGGCTCAAGCCTATTGTCTTCATCTTGACGTTGAGATCAATGTGTAGTTAGGAAAGTAGAACTCTCTTTAGCTCATAAATTAGGCTGCTTGCACAGTTCACTTACCGTTTGAATTAATCAGCTTTTTGGAGTAATTGACTCCATCCAAGACTTTGACGATTGGAACTTGCAACTAGAGTGATATGGCCTGAATTCTCATGCATTTTGGGGTGTTTGTGATATGTCGATTGTTGGTTAACAGGACCTGCCGCGCACTTTTCCTGGCCACCCATGGCTGGACACTCCAGAAGGCCATGCTGCTCTTCGTCGTGTTCTCGTTGGATACTCCTTCCGGGATTCAGATGTTGGTTATTGCCAGGTGAGGTGTCCTTCATTCCTGAAGTAACCAGCATCTTAGTCAAGAACTGAATCTTTGAGTCGCTTCTTAGTTTGTGCTAACTGTCAATTGTCCTTGATGCAGGGTCTAAACTACGTAGCGGCATTGTTGTTGCTCGTGATGAAAACCGAGGAAGATGCATTCTGGATGCTGGCTGTCCTCTTAGAAAACGTCTTGGTTAGTGACTGCTACACAAACAACTTGTCGGGGTGTCATGTTGAACAAAGAGTGTTCAAGGATTTGCTAGCCAAACAATGCCCAAGGTACTTACCTTCAATGCAAGCACTTAATGTTTCTTTGTAACCCTCGTGGTGCAATTGACACTAAGACAAATAATGGGAAATGTGCAGGATAGCTGCTCACTTGGACTCATTGGAGTTTGATGTCTCACTCGTGGCTACCGAATGGTTCTTATGCCTCTTCTCCAAGAGCTTACCATCAGAGGTTCGGAACTTTTTAACAAATATTTAATCGCTTCTCGTGTCCCTTACTGGTTTTTAGGTTTCTCTAATAATCTCTGCTGTTCCACCAAAAAAAAAAAACTCTGCTGTCCTTTACTTTTATGCCAGACAACATTGCGAGTATGGGATGTGCTTTTCTATGAGGGAGCTAAAGTTTTGTTCCATGTAGCATTGGCCATATTCAAGGTGCTTTTCACTCTCCTTTCCTGTCAGGTTTCTGTTTCGAACATCAATGGTTGTTAACACGAAAAGAAAAATCGTGTCTTGTGATTGCAGATGAAGGAAGAGGAGTTGCTCGTGACACACCATGTTGGCGATGTGATCAACATATTGCAGAGGACTACCCACCATCTCTTTGATCCAGATGAGCTACTCACAGTAAGTCACAGTTCCTTGACCATCAAGCGAGCAAGCTCCATGGCCTATTCATTTTCTGATCATTGAAATGCTCTTCGGCAGGTGGCGTTCGACAAGGTGGGTTCCATGACGACAAACACCATATCGAAACAACGGAAGAAGCAAGAACCAGCAGTGATGGCAGAGCTTGACGAGAGACTGAGGAGACTAAACACACTAAAAATGGGTGACAAATAGCACGACGCCCCTTGCACTGTTGTAATATCTTGACTGTGTACCTTTTAACTGTTTGCATATATACATAGATATGAAGAGAGGAAGTGAAAGTCCTGGAAACGGACAGTTGATTGTTTGTGAAGAAAGTCTCAAACTTGTGTGCCCTTCTCTACTCTCTCTCTCTCTCTCTCTCTCTCTCTCTCTAAAAGGGAAGGAGGCCCATGGAAAAGGGATGAAAGAGAGTTTCCGACTGTTGGTTTGGTTCATTTACCAGGATGGAAGTGGAGTGATGAAAGTTGTAAATTGGTGGTGGAGATTGTGAGAAATGGAGTTGAAAGAATCTTGGTTGCCTGGTTGGTGGTGTTAAAATTAGCTTTATTTACTCTGCCTAATTCCCAATCCACTTTTATTCTTTTTATTATGCTGACAACAATGGTAGCTCTTATACCCTTTGACAGAGCATAGATTTCTCAGTTACATTTTCCTTGTATGTTTCAACTATATCTTGTTTGGTTACCTTTGCTATGACCAACCAGAAGAGAAAATGAAGAGAAGTTAATTAGATTCATTTGTGCTTGAGTTCGGACAGGCAACGGATAACATGTGATGCATCAGTAAGCTCTTTTCTAATATGACATTTTTGCAGCTTGACATTAACACTTTGCACGGTCCTTAAAGAGAGTTGATTGACATTTCTGTTAGTTTTACGCATCATATGTTTGCTCATGAAGAGTTCATCTCGATAGGCTTATATTCACTTGAGAAAAGTTCAGCTCCTTCCAGCCCTGAAGGTAAAAACACCCGGTGGTGGTGGCTGTGGCATCGGCGGCAGCGTCGGCGGGGGAGGTAGAACCATCTGTAGCTCCGGCGGCGCAATGGAGAATGTCGGAGGATGTTGATAAAGCGGCTGTGGCCAATTCCCCATCGAAGGGCGGGGGTAGAAGGTGAAATTAGCGGAACTGTAAATCATCGGCGGTGGTGGCGGAAGCGGTGGAGGAGGAGGAAGATTAACATAAACCTGATCCATGGGACAATCCCCGGTTTGTGTCGGAGACCAAATTATGCCCATATCTGTGTCCTCATCCACCGGTGGCGGTGGGGCTGCAGCCTCATCATCGGCGGAACACTCTCCGGTCTCTTCCGACGATGATTTACCGCTGTTTCCTTCAGGAATGCCATCGCCGGCGGTGGCAGGGGCGGCATCAAGAGTATCAGAACCGAGATGTGGCGGTAGATGTTGAAGCCAACTACTGCCCTGGTTTTGGTTGACTTGGTCTTCCGAGGCAATATCCTTGATGTGGTTAGATCGCCGGGCGATTTTTAAGTGTTCGGATGTGAAGTCGGAGCGACTCCAGAGAGATAAAGGAGGTGCACTCTTGTTCCAATCTTCCAGCTGCTTGTTGTTTATGTCCACTGAACCAGGGAGATAGAATGCCTTGCAGAAGAAGGAAGAGAAAGGTAATAAGGAGAAATGCAAAAGGGAAGCAAAATGGACAAGTACAACTCAGTTAGCATGAATGAATGAATGATGGGTTGGATGCTCAATTGTCAAACACATATAATATTTGCAAGCCAACGATGTTAACACTGGAAGCGTAAAATCGAGTTTCTACGTAGAAACGTTTTGGTGATCTAGAAGCGTAAAATCGTAAGTTTTTAAGTTTTAAAGCGGAGTTTTTAACTATGTAAGCTATAAAAATAAAGATTTTGTGTGAAAGCGTTTTAGTGACCTAGAAACGTAAAATCGTAAGTTTTTAAATTTTAAAACGCGATTTTAACTACATTTATTAACAGACACCAACGTCTAGAGCTATCAACATCTTACCAAAATAGATAAGAGGGAAAAGCTGATGGGGAAACTAACCTTGCCAGATAGTAGTCTAGCATCTTCCCAGATTAAATCGTAAGGACCCACAGCATCAACTCTGGAAAAAGGCAACAATATATATATAAGAGATGATAGTGTTACTCAAATGGAAGAAATGATAAGGATCAAGTAAGTTTGACCTTTTTGTCTCCTTTGGAACGATGAGAATGAGAAGCTTTGGTTTGAATTTGACAGCTTGTCTAATGAAAGCATTGGCTAGAGCTGCTTTGAATCCAAAGGGTGGGTTTAGTCCCATGATCTGAACATGAGAGGGAGCTAAACGGTTTAGCGAGAGCTTAATTACCGTGTCAATTTTCATTATCCGAAACGTGCAAATATAGACATACATACCAAACTTGAACCATCTGGTAATTCACTTGGTTTGACATGCATCCAATTCCTCTTCTCAAAGCAGAAGTCATTCTACCGAACAAAACAATTTTAGCTCCATCTCCCAACATGGCCAAGTGTTGCCATTTTTTTATTTTGCAAATCAAAGATAGAGCATGGTAAAAATGCTCACACAAGAGTGTAGTGTAGTACCTTGGTCTGGATGAGGTCAAAGTTTTTGAAAAGACACGACTTTCTAGTCTCTTCCAGCTTTTTTTTCATCAACAGACTGAAATCGTTAGATCCGCAGCAGAAGTCCACGATCTGTTTCGAACATTAAGAGAAGAGAATCATGGGAAGTGGTCATCCCATCTACATTAGTGCCTGACATGATTGGGAGAAAAATGACAGACAAAGGTTGAAGAATGAAGATGGTTCTCACCATGTCGCCATTACGCACATAGAAATGGAGCCGGTTAACTATCTCCTGAAGCTTTTCTAGCTTGGTAAAGTGGCGGCCAAAAGTAGTGTATCGCATCCCATGTAAGAAAGGTTGAAGATAGCCAGTCAACCTTGGCTACATGACCATAATAGATTGAAAGAGTCATATAATCAGCTTCCCGACTAAAAATTACCAAGAACAACACACTACAAGTTTTTTAAAATTCCATAGAGTTTAGTTAGTTACCCGCCATTTGTACAAGGTAGTTAAGGTCTCTCGTGGGCACACCGCCAGTGCATCATCGTTGCTACCACCATTTTCGAGCTTCTCTTTAGCAAGACGCACAGCCTGGACATAGTTCTCTATTCGTCCTAGAGTAATGGACTTGACAAACACACTGGTGCGGCCATGATGCCCAGCTTCGCAAGCCCTCTCCAGGATTTCCTTCTTCTGTTGCTCGAATTTCTCCGTGATGTCTTCCCTCCACTTCAAAAATCTGTATGAAACGCGAGAAGATGATGTTAAGTGTAGTAGTTAGAGTTATCCTTATGAGAACTGCAACAATGATGTACATTACCGTCGTTTGAAATGAGCTTCATCGATAGATGGGAGGTCGGTCAGGCTTTTTAAGTAAGATTCACTCGGAGGAGGGTCCTTCTGGATGGGAGTTTGTGGTGGTTTAGAAGGGCATTTCGGCGGCAGAGGGAATATACTGGTTTTAGTAGTAGCCCCTGAGGATGACGAGCTGATGAAGGCAGTAGAGCCGAACGTGGCTGCTGGTTTGGTCACTACTGGCACGGTAGAGGCAGAGCCAAATGCCGGTTTCTTATCTCCCGGGGGTATGTCGATGAGCATTTTCGTTTTGCCTCCTTCTATTCTCATTGCCTTGTTTGTGGCGGAACCAAGATGTTGTTGTTGTTGATGTTGTGGTGGCTTCTCCAGACATCTCTTCTCTATCCTGTTCGTGGAGTTGTTGATCTTGAAGACATGATGCGGCTTCATGGATTCTTGCCCTGGTGCGGCAACCTTTGGTTTGGCGTCTGCTACAAGCTCTTGAATTTGTTTTGTTTTCTGCCGGGGAACACGATCGGGGAAAACCAGGTGGTCTCTAGCAGGAGTTGCGAGTCGTATATCGATTGCATGATCCCTGGTTAGCGACAATAGTTGTTTATTGGTGGATGAATAAGGAAATCTCATGCTTACGTGAGAGTAAAAATAGCAGGCAGAAAACTTACATGCAGTATATAAGAATCCTACCGTGGTGCAACAGACCTTCCCAAGCTCGTGCTACATTGACTCCGTCGGAGTCGAACTTGATGCCACTGAAGATAGGAATCAAAGATATAGCAAAAATTCCACCTAAGCAGCAAATGTCAGATGTGTAAACCAAAAGAAGGAGGTCTACCTGGGGAGACATTTTCTGTGGTAAGATTTCGGGCAACGTCTACATATGGCAAACTTGGTCTCGTCGAAACTCATATCTTCTACCTTCTTACAGTTATTGCACTTGTGAGCCGGGCATATGAATGATTCTCCGACTGAGATTCTCCAACGAAGGTCTGCCGCTGTGATTTTATCGCGCGGGTAAAGCAAGCTTGAAACGCAGTCAGCATGGTAGAAGTGGCCACAGGAAGCTGTAGCACATTGGTAGACCTGTAAAGCACAGAGGGGAAGAGTTACTATATCAAGGACATTGAAACATCGGAAAACATAGCTTCAAATGTGGCTTCAGGACATGATATACAAGAAGTTAATTGAATGAAAGAGGTTGGGTCTAAACTGGGCACCATACCTCTTGATTAGGAGATTTAGCAGAAGAACCCAATCTGCCACAGCCAAAACACTGATGCTGCTGATATTGGCAATTCTTGCACATGAAGTCTTGTATTGCCTGTATAAGGAACAAATATTTTCCATAATAATAGTTCTCACTTCTCGGAGTATCATAACTAAGGAAAGGCTGGCCGATTTTCAGCTTACTGCAACATCTTCCTTCTTACTAAAGCCAAGAGATACACATTCAGTGCGCTCTCCATCCGTCGGAGTAGGATGAAATGATCTCATACACACCCCATTGCAACTGCATATAAGATTATGAGCGGCTTGTTTAGCTTGTCTGATGATCACGTAAACCTCTGTAATCGTGTTGATCGTGTAACTTAGCTAATGATCAGACAGAAACACATACCACAACAAGTTACCACCATCATCGCAAATCGCACATACAGTGTCAAAGTAGCTTTCGTCTTCCTCCTCCTCTTCCCCATCGTCTTCTTGAACTCCTTCGACAAAGCTGTCATTGTCAGCATCGTCAAATAGCTCCTCGTCGGCTTGAGATTCCTGTTGCGCCTCCTTGAAACAAACCCAAAAGTTAATAGAAGCTCCATAAGTAGGAAAACAGGAAACAGAAAGGAAAAAAGTGAGCCAAACTGCAAATTTAGTAAACACTTTCACCACTCACCTTGTTGACATTTGCTGCACTTAGAGGGCTTTTAATGAACAAGAGAGAACACTGTCAAATTGTCAATCACAAGAATCTTTGTTAACAAGCTATTAAGCGTGCTGAAATTTTCACATTCAAACAACAAAATTTGGTGACAAAGGCAATTCAAATAGCAAAGATAAGAACCTTAGAGTTTGCCAAGTCCTTGTTCCTCTTTTTTGCTTCCCTGATCAATGGTGCGTGATCCAGCAGATGCTTCGTGCAAGGTAGAACCTCCACCGAGCTCAAGAAAATAAAACAGAGGATCAGTTCAGCATACCCAAAGCTTGCTTGAATTGTTAGCCTCATCTACAAGTAAACATTTTTCATGTCTAGGATCGAACTATAACGGTATAAAACTGCACTAAAATTAAAAGAAAAGTAAGTACCAAAGCTGAATAAAAAAGGCTCTTGGTTGGACTCGTTCCAACCTAATTTCAATTTGGCCCGTGATTTTTTTTTCTCTTTTTTTTAAGGGAGTCTACAGGGATGGGATTAGGTGCTAACCCCGTGATAACTAGCTAAAAACGCTACTAAAAACAACAAAATCATAACGGATTATTATAAAATCAATACAACATCTAAGGTAAATCACTACTAACCCTTGGTTAAGACCGTGCTAACTCTTGTACAATTAGCACCATAACTCCTCCCGAGTCTACATAATAGAAAAATCTAATTAAACTACATTACATTTAATTCGGTCCAATTTAATTCAATTATTATGTTTAACCCTACCATCGGATATGAAATATCACCAAGTAGAGGAGGTATAGAAGGAAAAAACACATTCGATCCGAATTAGTAATTACCAACCTGAAGGAATCAACGAAACGGTTCCAAGTGTAATCATCTCCATTCTTGTTGTTGAAATGAAGCCAATGAATGGTGACCAACAAACTGCTGATTATGGGCTCGTAACTCTTCTTCGGCTTCTGCAGAATGATCCAGTTCCTGTCCTTGGAGAGCACGTAGATCGTCGGAATCTCATCGGAGAGGTCGAACTTCCACGCTACCGCCCGTTTGTACACTTTCTGTCCTCCGTCGCAGGTCCCCAGCATAAACACCTGCAATCCCGAGGAGCTTCCAAGGCGGCACTCATCGCCCTCTTCGTAGTCGTCGTGGTCGCTCCACAGCACCGGCAGCACCGAGAAGGGAACGGACTTGTCGTCGGAGTCCAAGAAGGAATAGTTGGTGATGAAGTCCGGCAGGATTTCACCTTCTTCGTCTGACAACGCCATGAGAATTGAGAAGAGTTTCGCGGCCGGCGCCCGCGGCGAAATTCTGCAGTGAAACCTAAATCTTGTGATTCGAACTTCACACTGTTTCAATGCCTAGCTTTCCCCTCGAAACGTCGTTTTTGTGAGAGACTGAAATTCTGCGGAATCGAAATCATTTTTGCTGCTTGGATACCGAGAAAACGAACGAGAAAGCGTGCTTCCTAAACTTGGGAACGTTTTTCTCGGTAGTCAAACAAAAACTAGTTGAGAGAGGGGGAAATGGAAAATGAAGAGGAGAGCGAGAAATTTAAAGCATCAGTAACCAGATTTCTGTTACCGGGGTCCGTACCTTTTCCTTTCAAACTTTCTCGCTAACCAAACAGAAGGAAAAAAATGGAAAAGTGGTGAAGGTCAAAGGGAATGAGGAAAATGTTAGTCTCTCAGTCAACGCAATTACTAGATAGCTCACTACTGTTGAACCTACGCCGGTCGCAGCTTCGCCGTTCAAACAAAACTCCGACAGTCCGATCAACTTTTTTCCCCACATTTGCTCGGCATCCAAACACGAAATGAAGCAAAACGACAAAGAAGAAGATCGCGGGAAAGGAACAGGGAAAGAGAATAGAGCAGTACAAAGACGAAGAACACCGTGCTTCTCAATCACAATGCGTGGGAGGGGAGAGCGGTGTAGGATTTCCGCAGCGATCGAAGCTCCGGGGGTAGGGAAACCCTAGAAATGGCGTAGCGTTTTGGTAAAAGGAAATGTGGTTGGAGACGGTGAGGGGGGACTGAGCGAGTGGGTTTCTATTTTGCTGGAAATTGACAGAGAGCTCCGACGACCCGCTGCAGGAAATTTGTGTGTAAATATGGAAAGAAATGAGATTCTTGGAAGCGACGTGTTACTGTTTCTATTTCATTTCCCATTTCTTTTTCATTTCCGAATTTTGGGGGCAGTAGTGCTGACGTGACGTGGGGGAGTGGAGCCGGAGGGGAAACAGCCAAACAGGGGCGTGTTGAGATGTGGGCAGGAGTATATTAGGATTGCTGTCCTGTACCGTTTGGTCTATCCCCTAATTCGGGTCATATCCGGTGGTGAATGGGGTTCGGCCATTCCCGGATCAAATTGGGGTAAGGTTACGGGTCGAATAAAATGGAAACTCTAGACCCCTCTCAAGGTTTTCCCAACAGTCCAAATCCAAACTCCAAACACTATCAGCAGCAGCAGCTCGGACACAGTGACGAAAAACGAAAAGTAAAGCCGAAAACCTTCCTTTCTCCATTCTTCTCCAACAATCCTTCGATTCTCAGGTTCCATTTCTCTTTCTCCCAAAAATGTCGACGCTGACAATGGACCCAATTGACCTGGACGACATCAACCTGTACGCCTCCGATTTCAATTCTTCCCTCCCCCTGAAGAAGGTCCCCAACGGCGACGTATTCGAAGCCGCCCGCGCCGGCGACGTCGACCGCCTCCGCTACCACCTCGAGTCCGGCGGGGTCAACGTCAACGCCCGGGACCGGTGGGACTCTGTTGCCCTCTATTATGCCTGCCTCGCCGGCCACCTCGAGGCCGCCCGGATGCTGCTGGAGAGCGGAGCTATTTGCTCCGAGCACACCTTCGATGGCGATAGGTGTCATTACGCCGCCCTGAATTTGAAGGTCAGGAAACTCTTGAAGTCATTCGAGGCTCGTCCGCCGCCTTTGGGTCCTCTGCCTTCTGCGCTGCGGGATGTTTTTCTGAGTTGCGCCGCCAATCGCGCGTATTTGGAGCTCGTTGAGGGTAGCTTCCAAGTTGCAGGTTTTTGTGCATTCTTTCGTTTTACTTTCTTAGTTGTAAAAGGGTATGGTGGAAATGTGGTGCTTTTGGTTTTTTAATTTGAATGGTCGCTTTAAAGTTGAGGCCTTGTTGGAATTTTTGGCATTGGCTCATTAATTTGAATGGTGCCGGGGAAAGTTGATTTAGTTTGCTTTCATGTTTAGTGACACTACCAGAGGGTGGAGTTTGTATTGAAAAAGTCATGATTTGGTATATTATGCCGAAAACATGATCGAATTGTGGTTAACCGTTTCATACCATTAAAAACAGTCTACCAGTTTAGTCTACGGTAGGAAGTTTTTCAGATTGGACTGTTGGTATGGTACGGTTTAACAAACATTGCAATCAATAGATTCCAGACTAGTGGTCAAGGTAGCCTATTTCGGACCCAAGGGACCTGTGATATACGTTAGGGAAGCTGCTTTAACCCTCTTTGTGCCTGAATTACTGTCTGAAATCTCCTATGATGTCATGGCTTATGAGTCCAGTGGAGAGACCTGATACCACAGTTTTGCCTTCATGGACTCGTGGTTTTGTTCACTTTTGTTATTGCTGATAATTTATTGTTAAGCATTTCTTGACACTTAGCATGTGGCTTTATTGTGGGTAGGTGTTTCATTTGGTGGTGCACCCAATTCCAACCACTTCCCTCCTGATGTGGTGTTTTTTGTGCAAGGTAGGCCTGTCGAGGCTCACAGAGTCGTACTAAGCGCTCGGTCCCCATACTTCAAGAGGAAGTTTCAAACTGATTGGAGGGACCGAGTGGAAGTAAGGTTCTCGAGGGAAAAGCTGTCTTACCCTGCTCTGTTCTGCCTCATTCAGTTCTTCTATTCAGACAGACTGGAAGTAGCTGTCGAAGACATGGAAAGCCTTGTGAGAATCTGTAAAGTATGCAAATGCGAGTCATTACAGAGAGTTCTCGAGAATGAACTCGTCCACCAGAAGTTTGCTGAGTACAAAGCACTGAGAGATGTGGACGACTCTCAAAAGCGGTTTATCTTACAAGGCCTTTCATTACCTGAGGAGGACCGGCTTCCTGCTGCATTGCATAGGGTTCTTCAGACTTCACTGTCCAAGTCAACTTTGGAAGGAAGCCTTGATAGGGTAGACTCTTCATTTGGTGCAAAAGGGACAAGTGATTGTGTCGATGATGATCTGGCTGATGTTTGTATTAGAGTTGATAAGAAGATTTTCCGTTGCCATCAAGTGGTTTTAGCAGCAAGGTCCGAGTATTTTAGAGCAAGATTGTCTCGTATGAAAGACTTCGATGAGGGGAAGAATGGGATGCCGGAGAATGGTCTTCCGTGCCTTGAAGAACGTGATTTGAGCATGGAGGCATTCGAGCAGATGCTCGAGTACATGTATGTACATTTAGCAAATATTTCTTCAATAATCAGCATTTTTATTGATGTTATTGGGCCATAACTTTAGTTGTTTTGTTGTTCAGGTACGCTGATGCTTTAACTGATATAGATCCAGATCAGGTATCTGATTTCGTGTTTATTATCGAATGTAAGCAAATACATTTCCTTGAAATTTTCACTTCTGTGGCTTTGGACAGGTTGAGGAAATGTTCGATGCTGCTTCTAGGTATTTGTTATTTCCTCTCAAGCGTGCTGTTGCAGATGTATTGCTGCCACATCTCGAAACAGTCTCACCTGCTGAACTCTGCCATTGGTTGATACTGTCAGACATGTAAGTTTTTCTTAGTTAATGAAACTACCAATAACAATCTTGAGATTTAGAGTCGTTTAGATGTAGGGATTTGAAATGTGATGGATTGTGCAAAATCTATGGATGTGAAAAGTAATAATACATATTAATATCTGTGGACTTTTAAATAGTTATGTTTGTAAGTGTGATTTCAGTAGTGGAATGTGATCTTTAAATTAATTTTGATCTTAATACCGTCATGGAAATAGTTGAGGAGGGCTTGTTGGAGGGCGTTTTGGAATTAGCCAAGAAGGATGAGGGTTAAATAGACGAACATTATGCATAGATCTGACAAACCCTTATTTATGGGTGGGTTCTGAAATTCTTGTAGCTCATGGATTTGATCCCCCTTAAGAATTTCTAACTCCATGGACTCAGTACCCTTTCTTCTATACTGCACTAGGGTTTTGGATGAAACCTTCTACTCACGGATATTGTGCTGAAATCCATTATCCAAATCCTGCATCCATAAAGCTTCCTTAGTCCAGTCACGCAGAGTTGTTTTGTTTAATTGGTTGCCTCAAAATGGTCCAGGTATGGCGTGCTGAAGATTCGCGAGTATTGCTTGGATGTGATCGCTTGTGATTTCGAGACGTTTGCTGATGCACGAGAGTTCCGAGCAATGCTCTTAACCCTGCCGCCACCATCTGGAGACTCGTCCCTACGGACAACTGCTCCAAGCGCTCCTGGAGCTGATATGAACACAGACCAAGCTAACCTCCTGGACGATCTGCGAGAGAAATGGCTGGAAGCTGAGGCTGCGGAGCTTGACAAGCGAGATGAAAGTGCTCTGTTGTTCGACAAACGGTTGGAGATTCTTCTGCTTGTTGCAGAGAAAGAACATTCTGATGGACCCAGCCTTGATTGGATAAAGAGAGATCCAGAAAATAAGGCTTGATATTTTCAGATATCCACACGCTTTTATATGATGAATTGTTCTTGTATTATGTCAAGTAACTATTGACAGGTTGAATAATATAGAATGTTGGATTTATATGTATAATATGCCTCTCTACTTTACATTTTTTCTTATACATGTCCCTTTATTTTGAATTACATTAATTCTACCCTTATATGGTTAAACATTGTTTAAATCTACCTCTCTTTTAGTATTTCCGTCCCAGAACTATTAAACCCAATCAAATCGGAATCATTCAGTATAATATATTGGAAATAGGAGACTAAAAGACAAATATACCCCCTTAGTTTCGTTTCATCGTCCCCAACATGAGCAACCTCGACATCAATCCCTCCAGTAATTTTGTTTTTTCTCGGCGGCTGATTGATGTCGCGATCTCCAACTCCTTGTCGATCCTCTGAGCCTCTCTCTATCTTTCTGATTCTCGACCATTCCCTAATTCGCGGCCTCCCCTGCACCCATAACCTGTTACGCGACCTCTTATCGTAAGGCTACACACCTTGATTAATAATCGACCCCTTCCTCTATGTCTTTTGTCAATTCCCAAAGCCTATATTCCTTTTTTTCCGAATTTGATACATACAAAATGAAATGAAATTATGAATGTGTCCGACATCATATTATTATTTCTTAAACCATAAAAGAAGGGTTTGGTGGTGGGTGCTCTCACCTTCTAATTTTTGGAAGGGAAGATTTGAAATATCCTCAACTAGGGGAAACTTGAGTGGTGGCGGCCTCAATCATACTATACTGTCTTAGGGATTGGGGTTGCTGAAAGGTCTATAGTTGGGAAGATAGACTTCGATATCAACGATGACGGTGAGGTGGTGGCGTTAGCAGGAGAAACACAGGGTCGGGGGAAATGGGATCGGCGGAGAGGGAGGGATGTGCTGAAGAAGTCGATCGATTCGATGGCGATCCGTTGTGGATGGGAGCCTTTTTTTGGCGATGAAAGGGGAGCATAAAATTATCTTTTAGCCTCTCATATGCCGGCATTTTACTAACCAATTCTGGTTGGACCGGATTTGACGATTCTCAGACCAAAAATACTAACGGAGGGTAGGTTTGAGCAATGTTTAATAGTATAGGGGTAGATTTGATGTAATTTAGAGTATAAGGGTATATTTGAGAAAAATGTAAAGTAGAGAGGCATATTATACATATAATCTGTAGAATTTGATGGAAATTGGATCTTCATATCTTTTCACATTGGATATTTATTTATATATTTATGATATTTTAGTTATCATTCATATATTTTGAGACGATTTAGGGGGTTTTGGGAGTTATTTGGAATTTTTGTATTGATGGATAATTATGGGTAGTTTATGAGAATTATTCAGATTATATATTATGTAAATAGTGGATTGGATCGATAAGTTTAATCAGGAGTTTCCTTAAACCTTTCTCTCTCTTCCTCCCCCAATTTAGCTGACTCCCTCTCTACTTCGTCCCTATTCGCTGTTCGTTTTAGCCAAACCCACCCTCTCACTTTCTTCTTATCTAACCTTCACACTAAATTCCAATCTCCAAATCCCATATCTCCATATCGATTTCCAATTGTTTGACCTGTACCCTAAACTTGTGGTTTCCATCAAAATCTTGCAATGGGTTTTGGTTGGTCGAGTCTCTGGATCATTTGGCCTTTTAAATACAAGAAATTTTTGCAACATAATATTGCAACGCAACACATTGTCCTAAAGAATATTCAAAAAGTTTGTTACTCCCATTGACACACTCACAACCTTTTCACTAAATTACAAATACAAGAATGAAAATTTTCATCCATCAGTAACGACAGATGATCATTTTTTCGTGCTGCATAAGTATGCATTCTAGAAAGATTGTATATCATCTCTAAACATGCTTCAATTTATTGACCTCGAATGTGCATGGAATCATGGATTTCTCCCTGAAATATCCATATGTAATTGGAGATTCGGAATACATCAACTTTGAAAAGGTTGGGACACATTTCTTCTATGGATCTTCCTATTTAAGACTCGCTGATAAAACTAAAGGTTGTGTGTCTTGTGACCTTTAAAAACTTTGAAAATGTTACAACTTGTTTGTAATTCAGTGAAATAGGGTGAAAAAGGGTGCACAATTTATTTGCATTTATGGACGCTAAAGCCAAAGAATCAGAAAGTTAGATAGGAAGGAAAGGGTTGGGAGCATTGGTTGCTCAAAAGAGATGCCCATATCGTCCTCTCTAAGTATCGAAACAATGTAGGGATAGATGAGATTTTAGTTTGAGAGCCAACCAATCTTGATTGAATTTTCTTTGAATCCGTCTGACTAAAGTATAGTATGGATGGACACCAACTTGCCTATTATTGATAAGCTTAATTGCCAGCTTGGAGTAAAATTTCATGAGCAGTGTTCTATACCCCAAATCCCCATGCTAATTTTAAACCATAAAAATGCCCCAGAGCTTCACAATGAGGGTTGAACATTCTCCTTTTTTGAAACAAAACTTCTCAACCACTTTCTTATGCTATCTCGGATCACATCTCCAGTGCCGACAACTCCAAGATAGCCATTAGAAGCTCTATCAACGTTTTAACTTGGTCCATCCTTCTGGGGAAGCAATCCAGTTGATTTGAGTTACTATGGGAGTTGGGGTAAGAATTTCTTTCGCCAGTACCTTTGGGAAGGATGCAAGCGCCATACATGATCTTGACTTGCAACAAATGACATTAAGTAGCATAAGCGATGACAAATCTTGATTATATCCTTCAAAATACGACGTGCACGTATTTCCCATATCATCCATAAGGTAATGCTAAAGACCACAGGGCAGAGAAGGCATGCTATCTTTGTGAAGTTGTTATTCAGTTATTACGTATCCACATGGTTGCATCAAAGGAGAATAAGATGCGAGGTTTTTTTCACTATAACCACTCTGGACTAATAGTAAGCAGCCAACGAGCAATCTCGAGAGTCTCTGGTTACACAGAGAATCGAATGAGCTTAGAGATGAAGCTAGTCTACTATTGAGACAAATGACATTGGTTGTAATCTTGCCCAAACTAGCTATCCAACATCGAGTTCTCTCTAGGGTCTCAAGTTTCCAGTATGTGTTGGAATTTAAACTTAACGTATGAATAACTTTCTGGAATTCATCTTGTCAAGTTATCAAAGGTCAATAGGAATACATGGATTCATGTGGGTTGATTGTCAGAAGCCTGATGCGGAATTTGACAGGCGATATGCAATTGAACGATACATCAAGATCACGATCCGGGAGGTTTTGTAACCTTCCTGAACCAAGCCTCCATAGTTCATATACATGAGATAATTGATCTTCTAGATTTACAGAAGAAGATACTGATTTTAGTCTTGGTATGTTGGGGGGGGTCTATGACCTCAAAAATAATCTTTATATACTAGTCACCATGGACTCCCATAAAACTCTAGGTGAGTAAGTATTGGTTTCCACCCATTTAGTTCCATATTGGGTTTAAGTAATCATGGGCTCGACTTATTGACAAATTGTAGTTAGCCCATAAATACAAATAGCCAATATATGTGTTGTGAATTGGTAGCTCACGTAAGTTAGGAAATGAAATTCGTAACCGAATATCCTTCACAAATATTATTCATTTTATGGTTAGGGGATGTGAGACATACAAATTGTAAGCGAATCTTGATGAAAAATATCCCACCAAAGTTCTTGTCCAGAAGATTGTGTCTTCGTCCTAGGAAAGATGATTTGCCGACACGATCATGATTTTGGCTTGGATTTCCGAGGGCATAAGGTTGGCAAATTGGTCGACTCGCCACCATCTATTCTTATAAGTATAACTAGAAACTAGTTCTTGCTTCATTTCCTTTGTGATGGGGCCTAACACAATCGTCATAAGAGGGACCTGCAAAATCCATAAATTCAACCAAAATATGGTGTTTCTATCATTATTAATTTTCCACGCATGCCCCTTAGAAGAAGGTCAGCCGCTTTAGTAATGATCTCCAGACAAAGGAACATTCACTGAGCCTTTTGTCACGAGATATTGGTTGAAATGAACATGGCTAAGTTGGAGACGCTTACTCTCTATCCAAAGTTGGAACAAAAATAATCTAAACTCTTCTCGTGGACCTTGTTTTGTTGCACTTTGCTTCTTGGGATAACACCAATTTATCTACAAAAAAGGTGTGAGATAGTAGGCACATTGAAATGCTAGAGAGCTTTAGGGCTTTCTAGTGTTTCTCTGCAATTTCCTGATCTATTATGTTTGGAAGGCATTTCATGCACAAAACGAAAAGGTAAGGCGATAGATGGTCTCCCTATAAAATTCCTCGAGTCAAAGATATTTTTTTTTTGGCAAAGTCAGTGTTGAAAAGATAGTCACAAGGAGGAAGAAATAAAAACGCGGGAGTCGACCAATAGTCGAACTCCCGATGAGAGGGCCTTTTGTGCCACATGATGGGCAGCCCTATTTAGTCGACGAGAAACAAAGCAGTAAGAAATCCGACTGAAGTGAGAAGCTAAGCTCCGAGTATCCTCGAATAGAGCTCCACCCCGATCATGCGCCAAGTCGCCTCCCACCATCCCGCCGTATCAATTTGTTGTGAATCCCCATGAAATTTGACAGAGACAAAGGAATGTGTCAGGCACCACTGTATTGCCTCTAGTATAACAAAAGGATCTTGTAATCCTTCATAACTCTTTCCGAAAGCAAATAAGATATTACCTGACGATTGGAAACCCCCAAAGCCAATACTACCTTCGTGACTATGCTTGACCGCACCATCAAACTAAATATTAATAGTGTTCAAGGGTTTCCTTCAACGTCAAGGGCGTCATTTCCAAGTGCTCCATCAAATCTCATCAAAAGACCACCTAGTGGACAAGACAGCCGCCACCGATCGACTATTGTGCAATTGAATCTTCACCTGCAAAATGAGCAAACAAAGGTCCCTACTAGGACAATCCATGCCAAAGAGCCAACAAGTCAACATAGACACAAGGCATCAATTCGCCCTTGAAATAGAGTACCAGGTCATCGGGAAACCCTAGATAACCGGCACCACCCGATAAACACCTAAACTTTTTTTTTCTATTTAATAAAAGGTACAACCTAGATGCGGGGACCTAACAATTTGCAAGTATAAAATTTAAAAAGAAGGCAACAGATACATACGAGAA